TTTCCCCGAGTACCCAGTGACGAGATTCCCTAAGGGTGTTCCTCAAGGACCAAAAAGAATTCCATCTTATACAGTTGAAGATCTAGATAAAGAATGGTCGAGAAAGGAGCTTCCTAGTCGACAGTGTGGAAGATATGCTCAATACGACCCGGAATCTTATTTCGAGCAGGAGCTTTTAAAAGAAACAAATTGGAAGAAGTTTCTGAAAGAAGAAAAAGCGGCCCGAAAATCGTAATAATTTTATGCTTTTTTCACTCATTAGCATTCCAAAACATGCTTTCGAATCTTTTTTTCTCTCTTCAAAGTCTTACTTTTCAAATTTTTTACAGTGAATTTTCCTGTCATCTTCTGATAAAATAATCTCCCTCCCCCAAATTTTTTTTCGAAACTTACCCTCCCCAATTTTTCTCTCAATTTTATCACTAATCGACATTTCAATAAATCAAAAAACATAATTTCTTCGAAATTCTTCATATAAAATTTGAAAACAGGTCCAAGTTCAAAACGTGATGTTCTCATTTTGAAGAACGCTTTGAAATTCTTTGAATTTCTGCCTGAAATAGTCGCAAAATGATTTCAAACTGCTCGTTTTGTTGTGTCCTTCGAAATGAGACCCCGCATAGACTCCGCCCATTTTGATTATAGGATGGAAAATTGAGCGTAGCCTAATTTACATGAAGAATAGTGGAGCTTATTGAACCTCAAAATAAGCTTAACTTAGTTTTTTGACAGTTTCTGAACTGGAAGTTATAGTATATTGGAAAAAAGCACCGCCCATTCTAAAAAAAAAGAAATTTGTTCTGCCTGAAAAATAAATTTTGGGAAATTTTACGAAACCTAGTCATGCTTATACTCATTTTAAAGCTCTTTTTTGAAGGGTTTTTGTTACGGACAAAATTAAAATGGTCTATTCTGAACATTTCGCTTCCAGTCCAATTTCTGTTTTGCTCATTTTTTGAAATTTCAGAATTTTTTGGAAAAAATTTCACTTGCAACTGAGGCTTGCAGAAAAACTGTGGAAGTTCAAAAGCCATATTCATAAACTTTTACCTTGGAAAACCATTTTCCTTCCAAAAATCAACTGAATTATTTTCCGAAAGGAAAATGGGAGCGTGAAAATGTACTGAACATCATTCAAAAAATTTCCGGTTTGCAGGGTCAGAAAATGGTTTTTGAACAAAATTTTCTTGAAAACTATTGAAAAAAATTTCTCATTTTTTGTCACAGTACTTGAAATTCTTAGCACCATCCATTCTTGTCATTTTTGTAGAAAACGTAGTTTTTATGTACGAGAGCAGCAATTTTTAAGTTTCAAATTTGATAATAATGTACTTAATATATTATTCTACTAAAATACAACTTTTTTAGAATCTAAAAAATTATAAAATTGACTGTAAACATGAAACAAAATTTCAGGGATTTCCAGAAAGATCCCAGAGATTCACAGAAAGATCCCAGGGATTTCCAGAAAAATTCCAGGAATTTCTAGAAATACCAGGCATTTCCAAAAAAGAAAACAATTTTACTTGAATTTTGACGCCTTTTCAGTTGATTTTTGAAAAATAAACATATTTCCAAGAAAAATGTTCATGGAAAGACAAGCTATGTGTCTGCGTCCACGATGTATTGTTCACAATTTCAAAGTTGTCCAATAACATAGCATTCTTAGATCAGAAAACACAACAGCAATATTTCTAAATAAAACATTCATTGAAGTTTGAAAATGAATCAAAGATGGTATAACATAGTTCCACGGGGTGAGTAGGTACAAAACGGGTGGTTCAATTAATTTTAAGAATTGAAGCTAATTTTTTCTATTTTAATCAAAATGAAATAGAAAAGGGAAGATCAAGGAAAGGAGAATAATAAAAGTTGGATAGTATTGAAAAAAAATTTAGGTGGGGAATTTTCGAAAATAAAATTTGGGGGAGGCAGATTTCTTTTTTTTAATAAAAAGACACAAAAATTCTTCAAAAATTAGAAAAGTAAAATTCTCAAAGAATGTAAATAAGAATCGAAGGATGTTTTGGAATGCTAATGAGTGAGAAAAGCATAAAATTATTGCGATTTTCGGGCCGCTTTTTCTTCTTTCAGAAACTTCTTCCAATTTGTTTCTTTTAAAAGCTCTCGCTCGAAATAAGATTCCGGGTCGTATTGAGCATATCTTCCACTCTGTCGACTAGGAAGCTCCTTTCTCGACCATTCTTTATCTAGATCTTCAACTGTATAAGATGGAATTCTTTTTGGTCCTTGAGGAACACCCTTCGGGAATCTTGTCTGCGGAATTTCAGGAAGATGTCCAGGTATCCAGGTCCATTCGGAACGGTTCACAGCCGGACGCTTTTTGTTGTGACGTTTGTCTCTCTTCACTTCCGCGGAGGCTTTTTTGTGAAGTGGAATAGTTTCACTGTACTTGTTTCCGAGGTCCAGGATAGTTTTATCAATAGCCAGCCGGTCTTTCGTAGAATTCATGGCGTTTGAATGATTGGTGATATTGGTGGCTTTAAACTTCCATTCAGCCTCAGCCGTCTCCTTATAGTCTTTGGTGGATTTCTCGATTTCCAACGCTTTTTTAATATCCTCCTCATTTGCATGGATAAGTAAGAGTGTCTCACAAATACGACGGGAGTAGGAGTTCGATTCGCATTGATTTTGAGAGAATCTTCTTTTCGAAATCAAATCTTCGAGTTTTTCCTTGTGACTTGTTTCCAAACGCGTGAGTCTTTCCACTTCCGCCGACGCTTTTTTGTGAAGTGCAATAGTTTCACCGTACTTGTTTCCGAGGTTCTGGATAGTTTTCTTATCAGCCAGCCGGTCCTCTGTAGAATTGGTGGCGTTTGAATGATTGGTGGTATTGATGGCAGTTTGGACGTTGGACATGCTAGTCGTTTCTGAAAAAAGGAATGTATTCATTCAAAATGATTCTTCGAATAATGTCGGAATAAAATATTTAATTTTGATCAATTGGTATTTTTGAAATAAAAGAAAATTACCGTTTGTAGTAGACGACTTGGTAATTCCTCTCGAGGGACGCTTATAGATTCGTTCATATATGTTATCTGCGTCATGATCTTGTACATCTGAAAACAATATATTTAAGAATGTTCAACAAGTTTCCAATTTTGTAAATAACTGTTGCTTTTAGCGGTTTTTCTATTTTTCGGAAAAGGAAAAACAATTTCTAGATTTAAAAAAAGATTTCAAAGTTTTGTTTTTCCGTTTTCCAGGCTCTCTGTTTTTGAAGGTTCGATCTAGCTCAAAGTGAGAAGAAAAAATTTCGAAAACGTAGCTATAGAATCATTTTGATTCGATTAGTTTGTTTTGAATTTTTGGTATTTAGCAAAAAAAAAAGTTTACCGTTCAAATACGACTCGCAGGTTTCGTTCGCGCGACGTTTGCGGATGCGGCTATACATGTTTTCGGCATCATGATGTTGGTCGTCTGAAAAAAAAACTTATGTTTAAGGTTCATGGTCAAATTATGAATATGTTGTCTCACCTGGAGTTTGGACCCGGCTCCCATCTGGACCGATGTTGATTGGTTTATCCATTGTTGAATCTTCCTTGAGGAATTCGTGAACTGCTGTGTATTACTGCAAAATGTTTATTCAATTAGAAGAAATAACAATTATAGTTTGCGACGAATCAGACCATTCAGCTGTCGTTAAAATTCTAACAAGTTAATAAGAAAACAAAGATTCAGCGTCGGCGGAAACATCAGCTCGCAAAAAACAGAAGCATCTCCTCCAATATCAAAAATGTAAGTTTTCGCCCTTTCCTTATATTAGGTTGGCGGGAAAGTCTTTGTCACTCTGTTTGTTTAATCACTGTTCTCGTATATGGAGGCTGTGTATGATATCGACTCTAGTGAATAACAAGGTGATAAGAACCTTCCATATAAACAAGTCCCCATTTCCTTCCCTGCTCCTCATCTGTAATTGAAACGATATGTTTGTTCCCACTGCTATTCACATCAGACATGTTTTGATTTACCTCTTCCTATCTCACACCACGATGAAGGATTCGGAAACTTTCTTGAAGAATGTGTACAACACACATGCCCCTCACTACAATACTATTCGCAATTGGTTCCATCGTTTCGAAAAAGATGACTTCTCGCTCGATGAAAAGGATCGCTCTGGGAGACCCCGTGAGTTGGATTTGGACAAGCTGAAGCACGCATTGCAATCGGATCCATTTCAATCTAGCCGTGAACTAGCTGTCACATTCGGAGTTCACCATAGCACAGTCCTTGAAGGTTTGAAGTCTCTTGGAATGAGAAAACTTTTTGGTCGATTCATACCTCATCACCTGACTCAAGCCAACCTTGACCGCCGAGTCGACGATTCGATTACTCTTCTCACTCTCCACGCGGGCGATCGATGGCTGGACCGGCTAATAACCGGAGATGAGAAGTGGGTCTTCTACGATAATCACCACAGGAAATCCCAGTGGGTTGGAGAAGGAGAGAGCCCACAGGATGTCCCCAAACCCGACCTTCATCCGAAAAAAGTTATGCTCTCTGTGTGGTGGGGAGTGGACGGCCCCATCTACTGGGAACTTCTGCCCGAGGGCAAAACAATAACTGGAGACCTCTACACTACTCAACTACGAAACCTCAAGAAAGCAGTCGACCGTTCGGCCCTGAAAGACAAGAAAGTGTACTATCAACATGATAACGCTCGCCCACATGTTTCGAAACAAGTGAAGCAGGAGCTGATGGGATATGGATGGAATGTTCTCCCTCACCCCCCGTATTCTCCTGATCTTGCTCCTTCGACTATTGGTTATTTGGCGATATGACACGTGCCTTCGAAGGAAGAAGCTTCAATTCCCGTGGAGCGGTCGAAGCGGCACTCAAACAATACTTTGCCTCACGCCCGGCTGGATTCTACCGCAATGGAATCCATAAATTGAGGGAACGTTGGAGACATGTTGTTGATAATGATGGACAATATAATTAATTATTCGGTTATTTTTTCTTTGAGAAATAAACTATTGAAAAAGTGACAAACACTTTCCCGCCAACCTAATAGATATGAAAAAACAACTGGTTTGAGACAGCAAAAATACGAGAAAACAGCCGAAGTTGGCAAAAAAAAAAGCAGAAAAGGGGAGAACAATAAACGGGCTAAGAGAACACAGGGTGAGTGTTGCGGGAAGAGAGTGAAAAAACGGTTAGAAAATGAGAATTTTTCTGAGATAATGAGAATTTCGAAAAATCGAAAGATCAACAAGGGTGATAAAACATCAAAACGCTCACCCATAAACTAAAATTTTATTGAACTTGCTTAACTCCCATCTACAGGTGCCTCTCATGTACAGTAAAGCCAAAATTTATTCACTAGATTCAGGAAAAGAAGACTCGGCGGTGTAAGTGACCAAATGCGCACATAGAAATGACTTAAAGGAGGGCAGACAGCAAAAATTTCGGGGAAAATTTCAGGGAATGTGTATTTTGCCGTCGCGGTGTTCGCACCTAAAGCACGCAATCCCACGCGCAAACATTTTTATTTTTTTATTTCCCGACTTTATTTTTTTCAATTTTTAACGACTTCAAACATTAAAAAAGCTCTTTTTTCTTATTTATTATAAAACCCATATAAAAGTGAATTTTTTTATGTAAATTTAAAGTTCTATCGACCGATTATTTTTCCAGTCGCCGGTGTTTTTTATAGGCATGCGAAAAAAACTATTTTCTCTTCGATAACCGTTTCTTCACTGTTCCTATTTATCTCATTACTTCTCGTTATTACTCTAGGAATAAGAAACTGTTTTATGACTGGGGTTTTCAGAGACGTCTCCATTTTTACTGCTTCCTTCACCTTCCGACGACCAGCCCTGCACGAGGATTGTTTTATATATGTGGTTTTTCTTTCAATTGTTATGTCTCTTTTTAAAAATTAATTGTAGTTTTTTTCATAATTTATTTGTTAACATAATAAAACACGTTTCTTCATTTTCAACTGATTTTGGTACCTCGGAGCGAGGCCTCGGCGGCACGCTGGTAGCCCTTCAGAAATTCCGAGTTCAAAAAGTTCAATCAGAAGGAAACAAGGGAAGAAAAAAGTAAAAACACCAGCAGGGATTGAACCTCTGACCTCCTGAATACTAGCCTAGAGCGTACCCACTACACTACGCGTGTAAGAGGCGACCATCGCGTTTTTCACATTATGAAGCGACGCCGCAGCAGCAAGCTAGTGAAGAAATTAGGGTGACAAAAAAGAGCATTTTTTGAAGTGTTTTTTTCAGGTTTTTAAGTACATAGCTATATTTATACTTCAGAGTTATATCTTTTGAGTAAAAATGAAAATTTTGAAATTTTTGATGTCTACCCTCCTTTAAGAACCAAATGGACCATTCAGCTGTTGCGAAACTCCAATAAACTTATTAGTTTAGAAAAAGAAGATTCTACGGCGGCGGAAACAGCAGCTCACAAAAAAACGGAAGCATTTTCCTCTGATCGCAAAAATTCAAGTGTTTGCATTTTTCTTGTAAATATAAAATACACCTAACAAATACACCTAACAGAGCGAAAAGAAAAACAACTGATTTATGGCAACAAAAATACAAAGATACAGCCCGTGTTGGCATGCTGAAACCACAAAAAACGGAAAAAAGAAAGAATAGACGGACTGCGAGTGCATAAACACAGAGCGGGGAGAGTGGCGAGGGTCAGTGGTCCGTAATGGTTTCGTTGTGTATGCACCCTATCCTCCGCGCAATCGCATACTCCAACACACACACACGCCAATCGGTGGTGTGTTCTTGTGTTTTGCGCGCCAATTTGGGACGTGTCATTCTTGTTTTTTCGCTCGCCCGCATGGGTTTTCTATTATGCATTTCTCTCTCCGTCGCCGCCGAGTCTTCGTTTTCTTTTAAAATTGTCAGCTGAATAAGAAATCATCGTTTCTCATGGAAACTCTGAAAATCCCCATTTTGATAGTCTGAAAAAATATAGTGAATAGTTATCCAGTGAATTCGCTCATTTTTTGTGACATTCTTCTCACATAGCGCCGTCTCTCAGTTTTATTCTTATTTTTTCCTATATCCGTTACTTTGGAAATGTTTTGTTGTCCTCTCAATCTACGAGAAATGTGAATACTCTTTTTTGCAGTACTAACTTCTTCGATATACCTTCTAACAATCAACACCAGAAACCATGGATCAGCGCCGCAAATCATTCAAAACTGTCTACAACGGGTCAGATGAGAACAGAGTCCAAACTCCAGGTAAGAAAATGCTGTAAAACCCGTAATAAAAAGGGCAGGATTGGGGTCAACAGTGTTTTAATAGAGAACATTATTTTCCGATCTGAGTTACAAAAAAAAACCGACTTACGCGTCTTCAAAAAATTCTCAAAAACTCGTTTCTTTTTTTTTGAACATCACGTTTGTTCACAATGTTTGAATCAAGTGTGAAGGTTTCAAATTCAACCTTTTTAGACCATCACATCATGACTCCGACAACATGTCCAGCCGCCTTCGCGAACGCCGCTCAACCCGTTTTGGCGAGTTGTCTACTGCTAAAGGTAATTTTTTATTCAGAAACTATTTTTTAAAAATTAAAAAACGATATATACTGATCAAAAACTGACATTTTTGAACCGAAAATCACTATTCTCAAAATCATAATTTCCAACATTTGAGATTCAAAATCAACGAAATGAAACTTATTCAATTTTTCAGAAACTGCTAATACGTCTAACGTCAGAACAGTCACCAATACGCTCAAACAGCCAAATACTGAATATTCTACAAAAGACCGACAGGCACTCAAGAAACTTATCATCGCTCTCGGAAACAAGTACGCTGAAACTACTGTGCTCCACAGGAAGGCATCGATGGAAGTCGGAAAACTCGAGAGCCAGAAAAAAAAAACAAAAGAACAAAATTCAACAGTTGAAAACTTTGCAAAAAATGCATTTGAACAGAAGGAACATTCAAAATCGATCCTATTTAAATTCCTTCAGAAGTCGTTTCCAAGAAGCGCAGAATTCTCTCGAAGCAATTGAGAAAAATCTTCAGAAGGCCCGGAAAAACAGAGAATCCACAGAAGAAGATATGGAAGAGGCGGAGGCCGAATGGAAGTTTGAAGCCATGTGCTCTGGAGAAGCATACTATGAGGACGGCAAGTGGAAATGGCGTTATTGATTAATTTTCGATTTCTACTCTATTTTATTTATGTTTCACTTTTCTATATCCACCTACTTGAAATTATATTTTTCTTTCTTACTGTCTGTCAAAAATAAATTTCGTACAACGAATTCGTCGTGTTTCGTCTTTCGTTCTCGTTGAATATCATGGATATTTGAAAGAAAATCACACGACTCTTGCCATATTTAGGCAGATAAGAAGGGATTTTCTATGCAAGGCGAAAAATTCGAATCTATGGAATGGTTTGAACTCAAGAATCACAGTTTTGCTGTGAACGATTTTGTCTCAGTTTTTTTTGGAGAACTTCGTAAAATTAACATTTGTGAATGAATTTAGCAAAATGATATTGTTTCTGAAAATTTGAATGTCAACGAAGTTTCGGTCAAAATATTGACTTCTCTTCGAATTTTCAAAATTGAGATGTGTCGTTCATCAAAAATAAACCAATCCGTGATCACAGGAGTTATGGTCCAAAAAGTACCAAAAATGGTTGTATTCTCAAAAAATCGTAACTTTGTCAGTTTGAGCCCGATTGTTGAGATTTCAAAACCAGTATATATTAGGTTGGCGGGAAAGTCTTTGTCACTTTTTCAATAGTTTATTTCTCAAAGAAAAAATAACCGAATAATTAATTATATTGTCCATCATTATCAACAACATGTCTCCAACGTTCCCTCAATTTATGGATTCCATTGCGGTAGAATCCAGCCGGGCGTGAGGCAAAGTATTGTTTGAGTGCCGCTTCGACCGCTCCACGGGAATTGAAGCTTCTTCCTTCGAAGGCACGTGTCATATCGCCAAATAACCAATAGTCGGAAGGAGCAAGATCAGGAGAATACGGGGGGTGAGGGAGAACATTCCATCCATATCCCATCAGCTCCTGCTTCACTTGTTTCGAAACATGTGGGCGAGCGTTATCATG